ATTTAATGTATACAATTCCTATCAGCACAAAAAATAAATAATGCATACAATAAGTTCAAAATAAAAATTTCGTAAAAAATCAAATAATGCGTAATATTTTTTTTTTAGTTCAAAAAATAATTGTAATACTGATAAAGTTTAATTTTAATATTTTTAATTACATATTTTTCTCAATATAAGGTATAAGAAATATTTTTGATGTTGAGCTCTTTACATATTACAAAATTTAAATATTAACATTCGTGAATAATTTTGATTAAGACCGCATTAAGGTCTCAAATTAATACACTGAAAATAAAGTATCAATTACATTAATGATCATGATATTTAAATTTATGACTATTTTTTTAGCTTCAATGCGAAGCTCAGAAGGTATTAATTTTACTATGATGTGTTTTTTTTTGTGTCTGTTACCACTTTTTCTCAGCTATCATCGAACCGATTTTTCAGTTATACGTCAAAAGATCACAAGTCCTATCTATTCGAAGACATTACCCTCAAAAATTGAAAAAATTTCCCTTATTTCCCATAAATGGGGGGAATATCCAAAAAAATTATAAATTTAAAAATCGCTAAATATCGACATTTTTTCAATTTTTTTTACTTAAAACTGCCATAACTTTTTTAAAAATAACCAAAGCAATATAATTTTTTTTTATATAGATACGAGAGATACTTATCTATAGTTTTGTATATTTTATATTGTATTAATTATAAGGGACAGAGCGTCATTATCGTTCTTAACGCTTACCTTGTTGCTAATATACTTATTAGCGTAACTTTTATTTGAATTTGTAGCTCTTACTACTAGGTGACTGTATTAAATTTCTAAAATATTTTTCCATCTAATTGAAAATAATCAACGAATTTGTTGCCGTATTTAAAACATCTGTTTAATCTGCTGAAACGATTGTTTGAATTTGTCGCTCAAATATACTAAAATTATTGCTATTAATAGACCGTCCGTTTGGGTTATTTTTCTATTTTTTATTTACTGTCATTAGTCATTGTAAATGAATTGCAATTATAAACTTAATGTTGTTTATTATGTCAGCTTTCTCAATTTTTGGTACAAGTTATTCAAGTACCTCTTACTATATTATTATAGTCTTCTATTTTGTTCTTTTTTAGTAGAAATTGTTGTTTTTTGATGGAAATTTAAAATTTTCTTTTTAAATAATTATGCATTGTAATTTACAATTAAAAAAAATTTAATTAAATTATCGTTGAAAAGTAATCTACATAAGATAACTAATTATCACAAAAAAAATCAACAAATCTGATATTTCATGGTAGACAATTTTACCATTATTATTATCTTTTAATTTCAATTCCAAATTATAGTATAAATAAACGTTTGGTCTCCTGTAATATATTGATTTAATTTTTTGCTATAAATAATTGTTCATCTTTAATAAAATTAGTCAATTTTTTATTATTTGATCAACTTTTTCCTTTGCTCTGTTTATAAATACAGAATGAAAATTTCATTTTTTAAAAATATTTAGTCTACTTTTTATGTTTTAAAGCTTGTCCAAAACAATTTTTTTGACCATTCTATAAGCAATTTCAATATTAAATAATTTTATTAAATAAAATCATCAATATTTATATTAGTGCAATAAACATTAAATATTGTGTTGTAATCAGTATACTTTGATATTAAAACTTTACCACGTTTTGTGTATTTTTTGAAATGCGCGTTACACAGTCAATCATATTTTAATAGATTTAAAAACTAACTAATAATACATAGTAATATGTATGTAGCTTATATTTAGTTAAATTTAAACATTAGATATAATTGAAATTGTTGGGGTATTAATTATTTAAATTTTAGCGCATTGTAAATAATTTCTTTCCGTTTGAGAATAGAGAAAAAAAGTTTTTTTTTAATCTTTATATGCAGCTATTTACAACACAATCATCTTTAATTTACAAAAATCTGTTAGTTTTTAGTAAGATCGGTTTAAAAAAAAAATTTAATAAATATAAAAAGACATTCTAAATTGTTAAGTGCATAATTAATAATCTCTACGTACATTAAATTTCATAGGATAACATTGCGAGTTCTACAAAAAATGTGTAATATGAATATTAGGTCTTGGCTTCATTAAATAGCGTTTTACAAATTTCAAATTGACTTAAAATATATTGATGATATACAGAATATTCCTTACTATAATATAGTACATATTATGTATGTATTGAGTGCATGTACGTACTATAGTTTATTAGGTTTACTCGCACTATAGTGAATATAAACTTAAATTAAATTTTATATGAGCATTTCGTCACTTAAATTTTTCTTTTAAATTTTTCAATCTAAAATAAAATCTGTCATATATTCTTAGAGACCAAATGCATTTACTATGACATCGATATTAGCAGGTACACAACATTGTTATTATCAATGGTAGTAAGGCACATTGTTGTAAGTTTATAAATACACTAACTGACAATACAGAAAGTATATCTATTGATTGTCATAATTGATAATGAACAATCCGTGATTGTGATAGCAATGTCATAAAAAACCAATTAGCTACCTGTATTTGTAATCCCTTGTATATTATACATGTATATTAACACAAAAAATTGATACTTTAAATGTTAATATCTAATAAATGAATAAAGTTACGTTAAAAATTCAAATGCCATTTGCTATTAAATTAAAAACTCAAACATTTTATTAAATTCAAAATATGTGTTCTCATTTAAAAAAAATTCAAGCTAATGTTTTTTAACCTCGAAGGGATGAAAAATATCATGTTTTTACTACATATTATTGTAGTGTTTTTTGAATCAAACAATATTTTCCTTAACAAAAATTTAAAAATTTCAATAGTTACTGAGTAAACGAGTGTCTTATCCTTAATAAATCATCCTGTATATATATAAAGGGAAATGGTGTTAATTAAAAAAAAAGTATGTCGAATAAAAGAGGTATATAAATATTATTTCTCATAAAAAATTTGTATTGATCCATACATTTTTAAAAAAGTTATAGCATTTTAAAGTTAAAAATGTAAAATATAAAATGGAGAATTTTCACACAAAAATAGCATATGGTAGCCATTTTTACCGTGAAGATAAAATAAAGTCTGACATTTTTTTTTCATAATAAAGTATATTATATAAGCTTTAATTTAACCCTTCATTAGGTAGGTCGGGTCTATCAGACCTAAATATTTTCTTTTTTTGTTTCGTAATTGTTAAAATATATTTCTAAGTATGTCTATGTAATTGTTATTCACATTTGAAGAAATAAAGTTTTACCATACAAGAGTAAAATCGATTTAATTATATGGGTCTATCAGACCCATGGTATCGATCAACATAACATTTTTTCACCTACCTAATTAAGGGTTAAAGTATATATAAAAGTATCAGTATTTCTGGAACACTTTAAAAATTTAAGTTAATTTTTTGTGAAAAAGTTGTCATTTTAAATTCCCCCTGTGGACAGGTAAAGGGTCAAATTTATAAAAAAATATATCAAATGATAGGTAAAGACATAATGCATCTATAAAATTTATATAATTATAGACTTATAGTCTGCCCATTTTTACATATATTTTCTCTCTCTTTTTCGCCTCTCAGAGCAAAATAAGAGAGAATGTGACAGAATTCTCCAATTACTCGCCACTTCACGTAATTTTTTCATGCACTTAACTTTTTGAAAATTTTTGATCATTTCATGAAAAATACGGACATTTTTTCGAAAAATACGGACTCGTACGGACGCCTATACCTAACTTGATTATTGATTATATATTAATATTGTTGTTACAGACAAATCCTCTTTTTTTTGTTTTCTATAACCTTTGTTTTATTCATTCCTTAAGTCAGTCAGGCCAACCAAGATTTTAGGAGCCTGTAAACGATCAATTAGAAATTTTTAAATTTGTAATTTTTTTGGAGATTTTCCCATTTACGGGGAACGATGAAAATATTTTTAATTTTTGAGGGTAATGTCTTCGACTAGATACGATTTGTGATCTTTTGACGTATCGTTGAAAGAAATCGGTTCGGTTTTGGTATTACTTTGGTAACATCTAAGAGTAATAATTTAAGAGATTTATTAGGTAACCCTAAAGATAAGTTAGATGAAGGGGGGAAATCAGGCATTTATAACATACTATGTGAAAGTTTTAATAAATGTTACGTAGGACAAACAAAAAGAAATATAGGGGTCAGGTTTAAAGAGCACTTAAGAAATATTAAAAATCAAGAAGTTGAGAAATCTCCAGTGGCTGAACATTTATTGACTCATAATCACTCCATTAAAACCATAAAACTAATTAAAAACGTAAATAATTACAAAAAACTTAATGTCAGAGAAGCAATAAAAATGTTTAAAAATAAAAACAATTTAATTAATTGGGATCTTGGCTCACTGAAAAATTCATTATTAAACTTGTGTAAACTGGCAAAATGTGATAATATTACTTAGTGATGACGTCACTAGATGATAAGGTCATTAGGGGTATATAAGGGAGTTTTTTTCTAGTCGGGGTGTCAGTATGTGTTTAGCGTTGATAATGGTAACATTGTTTCCGAAATACGTATCCGCGACTTTTCATTAATTTTTTTTGGCTTTGAGTTTAATATTTTTAATATAGTTTTAATTTTACTTAATAAAATATATATTTAATATGTATAATGAGTATCTAATTAATAATCACTACCTGACTTTTTTTGCATTAAATGAATAATAAAATCAACTTTATACATACACTATAGTTGTTCCAAAGCGTAACTATATGGGGGTGATAAATATATTTTTTTGATTAAATAATTTTATAAAATTGTGCAACCTTTTTTTAATAATTATCTTAGAATTCTCTTTTATTAAAAAATTACAGACTAAAATAATTAAAATTTGCCAAAAAGGGGTGTGGAACCCACCAAGACACTTTTGTGACAGTCCTTTTTACACTACCAATCTTTAAGAAATATATCATGAACTATATTAAAATCTATTCTCAAACATGAAGTAAAACTGTAATATTAATTAATTTTTATTTTATAAAATTTAGATAAAAAATAACAATGTAATGCTACAAAATTTTTATTCCAATAACCTTATTTGTTTTTCAGTAATTAAACTGACAAATATGGTTATTAGACCAACATCAAAAATCAAACAGTTCTGGAAATAGTGTTACAAAAATAGGTTTAGACATGTCATTTTTACTAGGAGTTTCTTTATTTTTTGCCTCGACTTTGTTAAAAACCTCAATAATTGTACTTTGCAACGTTTGTTCATCCTAAAAGTAAAGCACAATGAATTATATTTTTAAATTTTACAATAAATTAAAAAAATATTATGGGTATAGTTAATGTATTTGAATATTTCAAACCTTGGCTTTAGTAGATATTGCAACTAAGTCTTGGAATGATGCATTTCTATATAAATGAAATAGTTGAGTTTGTCTCATGTTTTCTTCTTCTTTAGCTGTTGAATCTAAACCTAGGAATGTGCGTTTCATGGCTTCAAACGATAAATCTTCTTTTGGTGGACAACGCTGTTGGTATATAATAATAAAAATAATATAATTACCAAATTATTTGTTAATATATTATAAGAACTAACATTTTGGAAGTTATTAAAATTTTGACTAGAGATGAGGTATAATATGACACAAAATTTATATCATTAGACATGCTTAAGTTGTTTCTCTCGAAAGTAAGTACTTATAACTTCTAAAATAATGATGAAAAAATGAATTGATAAAATGAATAAATTGACAAGTTAATGATAAAAATATCACATAGTATTCACAAGAGAAAATTGTAAAGAAATTAATGAAAGTGTAGAAGTGTGGAGATCTGTTCTTGAAGAAAAGGGATTAAAATAAGTAGGAGTAAGATAGAGTAAATAGAGAACGAGTTTGACAAAGTACACGAGGTAGGTAGAAAGAGGAGAACCGTGACAATAAGCGAGGACAAGATAAGAGTTGTAGAAATTTTTAGGTATTTAGAATCAGTTGTGCAAAAAAATGGAGGTATTAATGACGATATAAGTCACAGGATTAAGTGCGAGTGGGTGAAGCTTCTAGCGTGTTATGCGATAAGAATTTGTAGTGAGACCAGATATGATGAATGTTTCAGAGTGTTAAGTGGCTAGAGAATATAAGATAAGGAACTATAGGTGTAGCGAATATTGTGGATAATATGAGAAAAAATAGTCTTAGATGGTTTGGTAATGTTATGAAGAGAGAGGAATTGAAAGCTATAAGAGCAGGTATGGATATGAATGGATGAAGAGATAGAGGAAAACCAAAAAGAGATGGAGGGATGTTATTGAATGCAATATGAGGACAACTGACGTGTACGTATATGATGTGGGAGATAGTGTCAAGTGGAAGTTAAGGTTTGGCCGACCCAAAGTAGTAAGGACACATGTTAAGAAAAAGAAGAAGAAAGATAAATAAATCACCCTGTACTTAAAAGGAAGGGTTAAGGAAATTTGTTAAGTTTAGGGTTACTTTAAATCTATTAGTAGCCTAAATTATTAACAATGATTTCAAAATTATCTTGAATTAGATTCTTCCATCAAGACTTATATTTAAATAAATACTTACTCTTTGCATAGATGGAGTTGAATTAACACTATCTAAATCAAGAGTGCTTAGATCTGTAAAGCTACCTTTCATAGAAATACTGGTGTTTTCTACCCAACTACGTCTATGAGCTAACACTGGACCTGTTTCATCTGTAAAAATTTTGACGTATTATATCTAATATATTAGAATTAAAAATTCAAGATAAAGATTATATCATACAAATAAGTTTTTATGATATGTTGATATTTATGATTTGCTGTTCAAAAATTTTTTTTTAATTAATCACATTATGCTTGAAACTTATTTTTTAGACATATTAAAAAAAGTTTTGAAAGCATTTAATTAAATGCTACATTAAATTAAAAGAAAAAATGTTTACATTTAAATGGAATAACGTATTAGTAAACAATTTACATAAAAATATACACAGAGTTGTCTTTTTCATGAATCATTTAATTAATTAAAACATAAAAATAACATTGATAATTTTCTTATGATTGATAATTTGAAAAAAACATGTATAATAGAAAGAAAGAAAAAAATTTCTCAATATTAATTTAAGTCTTTAATGAATTAATTAAACAATCACTCTGTAGAATAAATAAAATAAAAACTTTTTTAATGATATTCATACATTTATTAGAAATAAAGAATTTCTCAATAAACACTTACTTGTAATTTCAATTCCTGAAGCTTTTAAAGCTTCTGTTAACTCAGGTTCTTCAATTAAAACTCCTGCTGGTAGAAGGCTAGATGATTTTACTTCATTGTGCAAACATAAATCAGGTAATAAGTGTGTAGCATTTAATTCTTTTCTCTGTCCAATTATCTAAAAATTAATTATTTTTATCAAAACATTTTTGCTCAATACTTATTGTTCTAATTTTGTTAAATTTAAAACCTTATCAACATAATCTCCAAGTGGCTGTAAATCCAACACTACAGCAGTTAAATGCATTATACTGATAACTAATGTATGCAGATGAAATTTTTGTTGAGTAGAAAGAACAGCATTGGTAATAGCCAGCTCTTGAATACTTAAAATTAGTCTGATATAGTCAAGAACAGATTCTTCAGATAGCAATTCAACACAAATTAATGCTAATGTAGTGTAAACAGCTTCAAAATTATCAATAGTATTATTTGTAATTTCTAAACTTTCATATATTGATACATAAACATCCTGAGCGTGCTTTCGAATGAATATAGTGTCACTACGAGAACATTTCTCAAGATTTAGGTCTGATTTGGAAATACTAACACTATAAATAAAAAAAAAAACAAAACAAATTTTTTCAATTTTCAATTAATTATTTTAATTAAAACTGATTTATTCACAATTATTTTTTTACAAAAACATAACTTACTCGAGTTTAGCCAATTTTGAAACATTATTGTGTCGATCTAAAAGTGTATGCAATACACGAAGAACAATTAACCTTATATCATCCTCAGAGGCCGTTAATGTTTTTAATAATAAATCTAAAAATGACTGAGGAAATGTAGCATTCATTTGTACTGAGCTATATTTGGTACTAACCTAAAAATAATAAAATTTAAGTAAGTTTGACAGATTTTTTCAAATTACAATAAAGAATAAACAATTATTTATCAAAGACTTTTTAAAATTAAAAGGTAAATAATTAATAATACAAAAAAGCTTTTAAAATTGTTTAAGTAAGTTAAAATAAATGATATAATTATTTATATGGAGTATACTTGAGTATTTAGGCCATAGAAATACTAACAATTACGAAGTCGCTTGTAGTGCTCAAGGATGTACCCATGTTTACAGTTGAGTTCTGACGTTTCGGACTCATTATAGAGTCCATCATAAGAATGATGAATGCTAGTCGGTGTCTGCAACTATAGTGGTCAGAACTCAACTGTAAACATGGATACATTCTTAAGCTTTCAAGCAACAAGACAATCCATGAAAGCTTTAACACTTTTATAATTACGAATTCTTTATAACATATATATTTTAAACTTGGTAACAACAAATGTTGCAAAATTATGTCAAAATGATTCAACTAAAAATAAGTATTATGAATAAATTACCATCAAAAGAGATTTTAAACACATTCTCTGAACATGAAGATCATTGGGACTATTTGAAGACTTAAACTGAGGAACTTTTGACATTATAAACATCATAATTTCTATTTTTTGATAATCTGGTAGATGAGCTGCAAATTCTCCAAGAGCATGAATAAGTGCTTCCCGATACTCGTTTTCTCCATCTGATTCGGCAACACCAATATTAGATTGTGGTCTTCTAGTGACTGATGTTCTTAAATTAGTCAATAAAGAATTAATAATTTCCAAAACTGTAGGTCCAACACTCTCATTAGCAGCAATAGCGATTATCTTTGACAAAACATCAGCAATACTAGTACGAATTTTAGGTGATGCATTGGTATTTTCATCCAAATGTGTCATTAAAGTTTCAACTACAGCATATGAATATTGAGATTGAATGGAAAACATCAAAATCCTAAAACATTGTGTTGCAAAAGCATTTGGTACCCACATATGATGGGCATCTAAGTGTCTAAAAGAAAAAAATTACTTAAATAAACTTTATAATATAATAATCCAAATTAACCATACTTAAGAACGGGGCGTATAACACTTTTTACATGTCCAAATGAAGCTCTTCCAATAAGTTCGCGCAAACAAGACTCAGCCAAAGAATAAGAGTCATTTTTATCATTCACTTCTTCTGATATTAAATTATCTGTCACTATATCAGATTTGGCACTAATAAATAATTTTTATTATTGTTAAATTTATGTTTATTAATTATTTATTTTATTTATTAATATATAGTCATGGGCGCAAAAGCCACCAATATAACTCCAGTTATAATATGTACAATAAATTCTAGAAAACATTTAATAAATTTTCATATCTGAGAAAATAACTCATCTATGTAAAATATTAATTTTTCAGGCTATACAAAATTTTAATTTAAATACTTACTTGTGATCTTTTTTTCATTTTAAAAGATAATATATTTTTAATTCAGAAATATGATAATATCATTTTGCTAAATTTAGGAAAAAACATGTTTTTACTACAATAGATGAAATTTTACCATAGCTCTTGAATTTTTAACATTAAAATAAACATTATTAAAATAACACATTTAATTTTAAAACTAATTTCTTTATGCTTAAGTGAAAATAATTATATTTAACCTACTTCATTGTATGCATGTTAAATAACAGTGAAGGGACAATTTTATCCATGTGTACCGGTTCCCAAATATTTTCAACCAAGTCATCTGATACAGTTTTTCTTATAACTCCCTGAAATATTGAAATGTTTTAAGCACTATAAATACATGATGAAAAAATTATTAGGCTTACTTGGATTCCTTTTATACCAGCCTTTCGAATCATTTCCATAGTAACCAAATTAGGGTTATTATTATGGCACATTGATGAAAATTTTGAAACAAAAAAGTCATATCTCCTGTGGTATGATGGTGTATCTTCTTCTATGTTAGAAAATCTCACAAACTAAAAGGTTTTATATTTTTAAAATATATTCATAAGATTTCATTATTATTTTTAATACAGAATGAGTAGCANCAATTTCATTATTTTTTTTAATACAGATTGAGTAGCAAGTATTTGAAGATTGGGTTCAGATGATTCTAGTAATTTTTGAACAATTCGCAAATAACTTTCAACAAATAAATTTAATGTTTGAGCATGACATGTCACTAAGAGTTGATCCATAGCTTCCATTGCTATCATTACAAATCTGTAAAATGGAGTTAAATACAGAATAATATATATTTATAAAATTTATTTTAAAAAATTTGATCATACTCATTTCTTTTTCGAGATATGTCTCTGCTGGCTTTCTGAAATAAATATTCACCAATACGGTCTAATTTTTCTGGCGATGATAAAGCATAAAATGTTAATTTTTCCATATTATTTTTTACTAATCCATCCTAAAAAAAATGATATGTTACTTAAATAAATTAACTACAACAAAAATCATATAATACTATACTTGTGGTACATTAGGAAATATGTTGTCTACTAAACGTTTGTAACGGGGTCGCATCCGAGATAAACAACCTGAATAAAAACAAAAAATTTTGAGATTATTTAAAAAAACCATAGTTCAACCTAAAAATAAATTTAAATTAAAAGTAAAAATAATTTAAAAAAGAATCCACAGGATTTAGTAGATTATAATAGTTATAAATTTTAATCAATTATCATATTACCTAACAAAATCAACGATAAAGATATTTCCATGGATATGATCAAACTTATCTGTATTATATATAAAAATTGACCACTTGTAAATAATATTCACAATTTTTTAGTAATATTTGTATTGATCTTTGAGGTAAATATTATTTTGTTTTAAATTAATAATATTTTTAATTTGAACTAATCTGCATTGTTGCTATATTGAGCAAATATTTTGTAAATAATTTAATTAAAATTGCTAACCATCAAATTATTAAATGTAGGACAATTTACTTTTGTTTTATTTCATGGAGGTTGCTTAAAATTACAAAAATTTTAATTATCTCTACCCAAAATATACATAGATAGATTAAGATTGACAGATATCCTTATAGGTAATAATAATTCAATTAAAGTCAAAAGTTTTGTCAAAATGAATGATAAGTAAAATACTTTTAAATAATATGTAAAAATAAATATCTGAGTCAATTATAATGTATCCAACACCTTAACAATAAAATTGTTATACCATCTGTAAATAGAACATACAGTTTTTTTTAAAGGGTATTTTCTGTAAGATTTATACACTGAAATAAAGGACATGCTCTACACAAAGTTAAAACTTAGTATTATGTATAACAAATTAAACTAATGTTAAAAAATTTTCTCTAATGTAGGATAATTTTCAATGTTAATTAAATAAGTCATAATACTATAAATTATTTTAATAGAAGAAGTATTTTATTGAAGACCATATAAATTTATGACTTTAATTTTCTGTATACCAATAATCGGTATAACATAGATAGTAAAACTACTTAATAAGTCATAAACATATTACTTTTTGGAAAAAAAAAATTGTATATTTGTATGAGAACAAAAAGTATATGATGAAGTATGATAAAAATAATCATTATCAGAGTATATTATATTTTAGTTTATAATTAAATGAGAATATTTTATTTTCATTTATCTTATTTTATAAGAAATCGGCTATGAGTAAACTATACAGTAATCATTGACACTATAAATTTTAACTTATTACTTATTAGTTTTTTAATATATTAACTATCATAAAGATAAATTAAGTCTAAAAAATGTTTATTATAAATTGTTATTATTTTAATTTATTAAATTATATTAATTGATTGTTTACACTTACCAACACACATTTTATTACTTTTTTAATAAAAATGTGAGTAAATAATTGATCATCCTAAAATGAAAATAATATAGCGTGCAGATGATAAGTAGTATTCCTCACTAAAATTTTAATCGTGAATAAATTGATATCCAGTTAATTAGAATTTGAAATAAATATATGAGATATAACCATAAGTATGTAATACATATTTAAGATTATAATTAATTTCATTAGGTAAAGGTGTAAATAAAAAAATTAAGACAAGAAGTTTCAGCTGAGTTGAAACTTACATTTAATAGAAATTAATGATATTAATTAAAAATTTTCAAGGCAATTAATATTGGTTGATTTAACATATAATGATAGCACATAGATCTTATAAACATGTTTATAAGATCTATGTGATAGCACCACAGAATAGATAAGATTTAATATTTTCTGTGATACTACAATCACAGATAAAATGAAACCAGATGGTGAACTTTTTTTCTAGAGGTGTAATAAGATCAGTATTGTTACTCTTAGGAAAAAAAAAGATTTTATAAGAAATTATTGTTTTTATACTATGCATTACTAACTTTTATTCCTTGTTATTATGCCATTATAAGCACACCAAATTTACCAACACTTATCAGTTCCGTTTCACCTTTGGGATATTTCAGTATAGATATCCATTTTTTATTTGAAATTTATTTATTGTTAATTTTTGCACTAGTTTTTTTCTGTAGTTTGTTTTTAAATTATAAACAATAAAAAAAGTATATATCATGCCGCAAATGTGATGTAAAATACTGTAAAACTATCCATATTTTAAAGTTAATGATAAATAAAATTGTGGATCAAAAAGATCCACCTCATCTTTTGAAAACTACAAAGAAAATATTTTTTTAACGCAAATTTAAAATAAGTGAAGTTTTAATAGAAAAAAAATATTGAGTCATTGCTTGAAATGTTTAAGGATATATACACGTTTTCAGTTATGAGCTGACATACGGACTCGTTGCACAGTCTACCTTCAGAGCGATAGTTAGAGACAAGTGATTGTAAGTAAGCTCATAACTGAAAACGTGCATACTTCCATAAACATTTCAAGCAATACGACAATCCATGAAAGCTTTAACACGATTACATCTTGAGTCATTTTATAATTAAGATAGTAATTGTAATTTACGTTTACTCCCAAAATTAATACAACCGTATATATATCCTAATGCATTTTAAAATATGAGGGTTCACTTATTTCCCAATTTTAAGTATAGCCAAATAATAAAAATTAAAAAGATCATAGTATTGTTAAATAGAAATAATTTTAGGTAGGGTTTGTTATATATTAATGGAATCTAATAAGCTTACCAAGGAGGTTTTAAAAAAGAATTTTTCTTCCTTCCGAAAGGAAGGATATGTTGTAGCTACAAATGGCTTATAATAAATTACAGTTTTTTTTCATAATAAAATTACGATTTACTAACAATGTTTAGAATATTCAAACTCAGTTTAATTACAACAGCATCAAAGTGTTTTATGATAGTTATTTAAAACATTGTTGGGTTTCAATAAATATTTGTTTTAGCTATGTCATGTCTCGACTCTTATGTGTTTTTATTAAGTATTTAATACCTATCTACTGTTTTCTTTTTCATAACTCTCAAACAACAATTTTATGTTTTAAATTTGTATAATTAATCCGAAAGTCGTTAAGCGTCATAATTAAAAAAGATAAATAAGTAATTCTATTTAGTTTAAGGATTAAGATAAAATAAACAACATGTGCTGATATATATATTATTTTAAAGTGTTTATATTTAAATTAAAATAATTGAACACCTAGATAACGCTACTATATATATAAAACTACCCTTGCTTAAATAATAGTGTAAGGACGTCACGCATTTCTCTTTTAAGTCTGTCATCCATAGAATATGAACACCTATAATTATAACTAGATGTTTGTGTGGGAGGAGGAATAAAGGTTTTACATTACAAGAAAATTTTATTTTAGTAAAGTTTTTCCTGAAGTATATTTAATAAAAATGTTTAATGTCTAAAAAATTGTTTGTACCTCATTGAAATTTTTTAATTACGCTCCTATGTTTTTGGTTTGCCCTATTTCATTGAAATTTCATTGGAAAAGAAATCCTTCATACTTTTTAGAGCAGTTATATAAAAATTTTAATTTTACCTACTCTTCATTGAATTCAAATTTATTATTTGTGAAACTTTTAAAATTAAACTCTAGTAGTTTAAATTATAGATAGGTTTCTAGCTACTAAATTATTTAGCTCTTAATAAATTAAAAAAATAAATATTTTGCGTGGAAAATAATAATTTATAGAAGTTTTAAAGAAAAATAATAATATTCGCTTTTTTATATTTGTACACAACACTTGAATTAAATTCTGTTTGACATTTAATTTTATACTTACATCCTGGATCCGTGCATTTGTCCACAATAGTATCCACGCAATTCATCACGTCCGCCTGTTTATAACAACAGCAAAAACTCATGTTGGCCATTTATCACTCAGATAGATTTATATTAAAAAAGTTCTATCGTTAAAATAATATTAAATTCTATACGTTTCATTTGTAATCGTGAATAAATATTGGATATATAAAAATAAAAACTGAAAGTATCATGAATAGACGATAAGTATTATGATTAAGGGAGAGCGACCGTCGTGCGAACACCGACAGAGCCGATAAAATACTGAGACCTAAGCGCTAACTCGGCCGACGTCATTGTTAGCTATAAAAAGCTCATTCGCAAAATACCAAACTTATAACATCTTTTTACCTCTCAAAATTAGGATTTATTCTCAGCATATTTACCTAATATTTTGTTAAATGAAGAGATTTGTGGTGCTGTATTGGTTTAAGAAAACAGTACAAAGAACAATAATGTCTTACCAAAAGTAGCTATTATTAGTATAAACAAAATAATTCGAGCAGTATCTATTCGTGTCATAAAAATTAATAATGTTCATTCTATTTTTTACTTACAGTTGCCAAGTATTTATAATATATGTGTGTGTGTTATTATAAGTAAGGTAAAAAATATGTTGAAAGACTATGTTTATTGTTGTACAAATTAAAAAAAAAAAAAATAGACTCAATTATCTAAATTTAAGTTAGATTGTGAGAACTATTAGTAAGAAAGATTTTTACAAAAAAACATTGAGTGATTGATGTTCAAAACTTCTTTTAATAAGCTGAATCGTCGAATATTTTAAGATATTTTTAGCAATTGAAATAAAATGTATTATGGGTTGTTCATTAAATTGTGCCTTTTTTCTATAAAATAATATTTTTACAATAAATATAGTTATAAATACGAGTTTTTATACTAATACTTAAAAGTAATAAATATAAAAAATATAACGAAGTGTCCAGCAAATCAAGTATGATCCAGAAAATGATTATAAGACTTTTTAGTTATATTAAGTATATGTTCAAAAATAAAATATATAATTAACATTATAACCAGTATCTAATTATTTACCACTAACTTACTTTATTAAAAGGTTAATTATCAAAAAAAAAAAATCCTAAATTTTAACGTATTTTTTTTTAATGTGTGTGTTATATTTATATGAAATTATGTTTTTAAGTTAACATCAAAGTTTTTCACGATTTTTAAAAACAAATTTCTAAAATTAAAAAGTGAATTTGAAATGTTTGAAATTACCTGATAAAAAATTCTTTAAACAAAAGTTGTTTCATTGAATTTATTTTTTAAGAAACTTAATTTTTCATAAGGTCACACAACAAACTGGTCGAGAAAGTATAGCCGAATTAAAACGGATAACGTTAAATAGCATTGTTTTCCGATCACTGTATGGCCTCGGTAAATATTTAAATTTAAGAATATTCCCCATGGGATACCTGAATATTTTAACATTATTAGGTATTGGGTAAGTATAACCATAATAACTGAGAAAAAGCAAGTAAATTATAATAAATTACACTAATTTTTGTAAAACTGCAGTTGAAGAATAATTAACTCTAAAATAATCAACAAATACTTTTTTGTTTATGCAAAACTGATTACTTTGAACCTATGTCAACAAAAAAGACAACATTAGTGTAAACAAATATAAAATTTTCTAAAATATGTGATAAATTTTAAAGTTTGTTCTTTTAAATTCATTAAAAACTGTATACAGTTTTCATTAATCTTATTGTATAATAGTTATTATCGAGGTGAACATAATGCCCATGCACTCAGACCATTGTGCGCATATTATGTAATAAAAAAAGGTAAAATTTCTTTGATCAATAGATTCCAAAGCAATATGGTCTTATACTCATCATTAAAAATTGGTGTTGTAATTGTCAAAAAATAATAACTTTTTTAAAACTATCGTAGAAAAGTCTGATTTTTGCTGTTAATATTTTTCTACAGCAATTTTATGGTATATTATGAATCACGCGAAAAAGTTTGTTTGAGTTCAAAATGTTTTATCACTACTATTCAAAATTGTGTAAAAAAAAAAAAAATTATTGATATGTATGTACTTAGTAAATAAACAAAGTTTAATATTAAAGATGGCATCTATAATATTGAAAAGGGAAGTACATAAATATTTATCTCACGCACCACAAAAACGCTACTAAATGCATATAATCTACTATAAAAATGTTATTTTAGAGTTTTAATAAACTTCACAAGATTTGAAGTTTTAAAATAATAGAAAAATAGTAGTAATTTACATATTTTAGTAAAATATATAAAAACTACATATAAAATAATTTTATATCCAACTAAAATATTATTATCATAATAATGCAAATTTAATAATTTTAATAATTTGTAAGTTGCACCCCTGGTTTTAATTTACTAAAATTATGTGAAAAAAACTATCTTATTTTATTGTTTTTTTTTTTTTATCAGTAATAATTACTGATAAAATTTACAATTATTGTAAATTAATAATACAAATAACACACTAAAGAATACAATTTCAGTACCCAAAACATTTTTGTTATTGTTGCACTCATATTAAAAAGTAATATCGGGTCAGATATTAGTTCGCTAGCAGCAGTAAATATTGGAAAAAGTTATAACGGTAAAGCTCTAATAAATAGTCTTAGAAAATAACAGATGTAAATGTATTTTTTAATTTTTTTAAAGTGACTAAAACTTTTCTGGTTTGCATCATATATGTTATAAAAAAAGGAAAAAGGGTACAATTTTTAAAGATGATCCTTATTTTTAAAATATATTTACGATTATCATGTGATTCAGCAGCACAAAAAAAGTTGATTATTTACCACACTTAGTTATAGCAAAATAAGCATTAACGGTTCATTGCGGGAGGAACGGATGTGGTTTTTAATGAGTCACAACTTATTTACCCCACGCAAATAAATACATCTGTAAACTTGTAGTTTATTTCATGTAATTAATTATTATTTTATTTTAGTCAATACAATTTCAAGTTGAAAAAATTAAGTCTTGTATACATTTCTTTTACATCAATGATAGTTTTTATTTCAATGGTTCATCACTAACAGATGAAATTTTATAGGAATTGTTATATTTAAGTAATAATAAATGTATGAACTAACAACATTTTTAAATAAATTTATTTATTCTTAGAGCTACCTAGGTAATTGTTACCTTACTTTTAAAAATATCTAGTACATAATAAATGAAAAACGTTTAATTCTTCAATCAAATGTTTTTTTTTTCATTGTTTTATATTTACATAAATGCGTTAGTATATGATAAAAATAAGAAAAGTGTCTAGAGCTGATTGCGAGAGATGGTTTGTGCTGATGCCCGTACCCCGTATGACTGTGTTAGTGGGTTGCTTGCACAGGATCGATATAGTAATGTCGCAGTATAAAAGCTGTTACTGGGGTAGTATTGCGCACACACTGAGATTCCGGGCACTGTAAGTCAACGACCCAGTGATCCGGTTTCGGATGATGAGACGACCCTGTGTACAGACACCATAACCTTATTTCATATTCTCTAGAAAATATTCTAAACATTTCACTAATAACTAGTACAATGATTTAAAGTTTTATATCTTAAAAACAATAAAACTAACTTGTATACAAAGGTGTGTTTATGAAGGATGGCTCGTGAACCCAAAACCCTTTAAAATTTGATGACCTATTATTTTTATTAAAAAGAGTACTTTTAAAAAGATACTGAAAAAAAAAGGAAAACTATAAGAACATATATTATAAAATAATTTAACAATTTTTAGAGCTCGATTGAAAAACATCCTTAAATAGACGCTTAAAATACAAATACACAAAGTTGTTGATACTTTTATAATATTTACATATTATATTAACAAAAATGTTTAATAAATCTTTCAATTACAATATTAGACATAAAATTTTATAGTAATAATTATTTTCGATATCTATTTATAACTCTACTTAGATCTGTGTCTCATTACATGACCCAAAGATCGTGATATTAAATGAGGTGACATGACCTTAATCACACTCTTCAGATATGTTATGGATTTACTTGTATATTTTTAATTGATTTATAGGTATAGAAATAATTTATTAATTTATGCGTTATCTGAAAATGTATTATTCAATTAACCCGTTAGAGATAGTTGTAACTGATATAATATTGTAATATTTTATAATTTATATGAGTAATATTTTCGTTGACATTTTGATGTATAGGTTCCCGATGAAGGCGACTAATTTTGTTTTGTTATTATGTTCTATTCCTTTTTAGATGATTAACATTAAATGATCTGTTTAAATATTAGAGACACTAAGCAATATATGTTAATTAAAACATCATATGTGACAAAAATGTATGAATAATTCATAAACGTAGCAGCAGGCTATATGATTTTAAACAAGATTCACAGTTAGTTTTCTTAAAATCATAGTAAACAACGAAACTTTGAATGCATTCATCCGGTCGTGATTTGATATTTTTCTTTTTATATTAGAACAGATGTTCGCACACGTAACACACATTAAAAAATAATACCAAATGAAAAATAGTTAATGAGCCTCAGGCCAGCGGTTGGTTATGAAATCGCGGACATAATCAATCGTCTTCCGAAGATGGAAACGTGTTTATTCGTTTCACTAATGACATTTCTCAGAGCAAAGTGCAATGGTTTAATAAATAAATAGAATAGTTAATAAAATACGTTCATTAATACGTTGTTGTAAGAAAAATGCTTCTTTATCTCTAATTTTTTCAATTTAATAGGCATTACCACCGGATGTCTTTTTTATAATTTTGCATACTATAATTCCTTCTACCTAAATTATACGGCTACCTATTTACTATAAAAATAACAATAATCATCAAGATATACTTCTCGGCCATTAAAAAAATAAATAATATTTGTTAATTTTCTCTAAAATATACATAAGTGTTATGAAATAGTTTTGAAGTGTAGGAAAAACTCATTTCACTAATTTCGCCTGAACTTTTTTAAGTCGATTAACGAACATCTGATTTAATTTAACAACCTTTGATAATGTACCTCTTCTGCAATAATAACAATTGGTCTTTGCAATCAATTTATTACTACTTAAAATCGGACAATTATATTTTTGCCCTTAAAAAGCGTACAAAAGATTCATTTATTGAGAAAATAATACGTGGAAAATATACTAACAATAAAATAAATGTATTCTGTACCATAAACGCTATGGCAATGCATATAAGTATTAGGACGTTGGTTTTATGAGCTATATGCTCGACGCCGTCTGTGGGATGACTGGGCGGGCAGGAGGAGAAGGGTATTCGAGGATTTTGCGCGATGATCTAAGTGCGAACTGCGAACCAGTTTCAATACGGCCGGTTGGCGGTCCGGTGGTGTAATTCTTGTAGTTGTACGCTTTTCGACAGTGAATACGATAACGCGGGTAAAACGTGTTTGGCAAATAAAAAAGAAGTAAACCAAATAATTCATTTTTAATAAAAAAATAACTTTTTTTTGGTGACTGTTTAAAAAAAATTGTACAACTAAGTTTTTTAGTTGTTAAAAACGGAACATGTTAATTAATATACAGTCTTCAGAAGAACTTTAAATGTTTATAAAAGATCATGGTGAGTAAGATAACTGTTAATTAAGACATTATTTTAAATTTTTCATATAGACAAAAATTCAAAATGTTAAATAAAAAAATCTCGTCCTTCATAAATTACAAATTAATCATCAATTTAATTTAATTGAGCAAATTTTTATATATGCAATAATGTAATCTGGTAGCTAATTATATTAACACATATTTTAATAGCATACAATGATCGCTTAAAAATTTCTAATCACAAGATTTTTAATAGATCGACAAGAGATTTTAATAATTAAAATCTCTTGTCGATCTATTAAAAATTATAATTATTATAATTAGACATTCTTCCCTGCAATACAACAATAAACCAATTGAAAAATGATAACTTTAGATTTTAATTAAAAAAGATCAAGGTACATATATCATTAAATGTTAGATCACACCTGTTATACAAATTTTATTATCGAATAAAATTTAAAATTTATTATCGAATAATTAAGTAAACCCAAAATTGTAATTTTAAATGTTAAAAACTATCTATGTACCATAATATATTAAATAAATTTAAGGTATTTACCATATGATAATTATTTTTTTTAACATAGAATATTTTAATTATTACAGATATCACACAGTGAACTTTTTTTGATACTTCTATTTAAAAACCTATTATTTTTAATCAATTTCCAAACAAAGAATAAAAGTCACCCGTCAAAATATCCATAAAAATATTCTCTGCCGTTCATTATCATTCGTGGAAAATTGTATAAATAATATTAATTTCTATGTTGAGGCGTACAAATGTAGAATATAAGCACACATCAGAGAAGGCAATTATTAACATTTTTTGTGTATGAAAAATTCCATTTTTTTGTTTTACTTTTCATAAATTACAACTACCCCTATATCTACTACTACCCTTTGTTGGATAGAAGATTTACTCTGTCATTAGTTTTTCAGTCTACATATATATTTATTATTGTAGGGTGACTTCATCAGTGAATTGACAGTTTTTTATTTTTTTAAATTCTTTATTAATTTATATTTTAATATAATATTTATACAGTTAATAATAATTTATTTTTATAAATAATTAACTCAAAAATTATAATTTAATATTTTATGTTGTAAATTAAAGTTTTACAATGAACAGTTAATGATATTGTAAAAAAAATTGAGATATCGCAGTTAGACTTAAATTAGATTTTTTCTTTGCTATAAGAACTACTAACAATACATTTTTACAATTAGATTACACAAGTTTTCATTTAAAATTCAATGTTCGTTTATCAGTAGTACTCATACTCTGGTGATGTTACCCTACATTTAATTATAGCATATTTTAAGGGTGAATCCTTAACTACGCCTCACGAAATATCTTCACAAATATTAGAACGAATCATTGTTTAATTTCTTTAACAATAATGGTTCATTTTTTAACTACTTTACTCGAAAAATTCATTCTCTGCTACCATCTCTATACTCGTATCAACTTTCGATTTTCATCGAATTAAGAAACCCTGTTTTTTTTTATTTTATCAAATTTATTCAATTAAAAAAATAATATTAGTTTAAACAATTTTATATGTTGATAAACGTTGTTGGCTAATATAAATACGATAAACTGTAAACCCGTTTTATTTTATGATAAAGTAAAATAAAACGCTTTAAAATGATCAATGGGGAAAAACATTTCAATAAATATAGATATTATTTGACGGGAAATGATTTTCCTAATGTCTGTAGAAAAAAGACAACAATGTCTAAAAACCTTATCACTATTGGTGCATTAAGATATTAAAGATATATTAATGTATTAGAGTATTAAAAATACTTGTGATTTTGTAATATAAGAATTAGTGGCAGATAATTTGGAGCATACTTTTGTTAAATAGTAATCGATCTAAATAATTTTATTTGATTTAGTGTTTTTATAACTTCAACGCGCTGTCTCGCTGAATTATTTGTATTTTTCCTAATACAATTAAAGTCGTAGTGATGGTAAGTATCTAATGCTTGTACCCACGTTAATTTTATTTCATTTTAGATACCTACTGTTATAATATTATTCAACCTATACTAAATGACAAGTTGAACGACCTATCAGTATTTTTATAATATAATGTAGTGCAATGTCATTGCATGGATTATGTTGTACAATATTGATAGAAAAGTTAACCGCCTTCGATTAATCGTTTGCCAAAAGAAAACATTTAAACACATGTCAGAATAATTTGATACAAGTATGCAGTTTGGACCAAACTAAACTGCATCATATTATTATCGTCAATATTGTTACTAAGATTCTAAAGAATTGTTGATGAATGTGGGCAAGATCCCTGTGGTTGCCCATTTCCAGTGACTTATGTGCGATCTTATCCTGACGACTCATTAAACATTATGATTTGGAGAGATAGAAAGAAACGCTACACGCAGTATTTTACATTAATTGACTGTCAAATAGCGACATTTATTTATCAAGGCACATCAGTATTATAGTAATAATGATAAAATTTAATAGGCAATATATTAAAATAAAACCGTTAGGTAAAATAAAAAGACATCTGAACTCGAAGCGTAGGAGTTGGTGACCATCGCGTCACCACAAGCGGGTCAAATGATTTTCGTATGCGACGCCTCTGCGTCACCTTTGGCCAGTAAACAAAAACATATACTTATAAAGGACATTGTACGCCTAACAAATCGATTGATTTCAAATAATGTGTGTATACTTAACTAACGGCTGATAGATTTTCCGCCCAACAATGATCATTTAGGTCGAGTTTTGTCAAGATATAATCTATGTAAAAACAAGAAAATTTACAATTTTGTATTTATTCTTTAAAGGCTATCACTTATTTTACACTTAGATTTTTACATGATAGATAGATTTTTACACTGAAATTCTCTATCAAGAGCTAAAAAAAAAAATCAGTATAATAAAAAGATTTGAAAGCTAACAGTAATTTTAAAAATGTTCAAAAGTTAGATAAGATTATTAAATAATGTTCTATGTTAATAAATAAATAAAATTAAAAAAAAAAAAAGATACACGATAAAAGTAGGGGAGAACGGGGCTAGTTATTACTATTAAGATATTTCATTTTTAATAGCACTATTCATATGCTTTCAAATGTTTTCATAGATTAATTATTGGTTCAAATATTTTGTAAAAATATTAATTTTGTCTTATCCTATACCAAAATTTATTAGCATTTTTATGTTTTTCGTGTTAATAGTAAAATTTAGGAGACAATATTATTTTAATTTTTTGAGATCAATACAATACGGTGAGATATTTTTGATACTAAATATTTATTTATTGAGTAATATTACTTTATTTTTTGTTTATAATCATAAAAATATCAGTGTTTATTTGTGTGATAATGTTGTTATAAATATGAAAAATTTTTAAATGGGGTTAGTTGTTACAGTTGTATGGAAACAAGTAGTTATGATATACTTATAACTATGAAAAAAACATTTTTTTTATAGTTAATACAATTAAATTATTATAGTTTATTTCATTTAAATTAAAAAATTGCACAAACCAAAGGTCAAAGTGTATAAATAAATATAAAATCTCCGCATAAAAAGTATTTTTCAAAAGAAATAATAAAATTGCATAAATTGACATTTAATTTTTTTGTTTATAATATTTTAATTCGCATGACTATTTTTATTATTATATTTTATAATAAATATTACCCTTCTTTGTTATTTTTAGAATTTTATATCATATATATTGTAACAACTTATCCTACCTTGAGGTAAATTTTTACATTTTGACTGATTCCAGTAAAACATTTTATTTTAATTAAAAATATTAATTTATTGCTTTAATTTTATTTGTATGCAAGCTTAGAACTTTTAGATTAAATATAATTCATACAAACTTTGGTACCTATAAAGGAAAAATTCATAAAGGTTATAATGTACAAGTTGTAATAACTAACACCACTCTATCCCACTGTTATATATAATCGGAAGAAAAGTTGCTTTGAAATAAAAATGAGTTGATTTTATCAAATGTTTTCCACATTAAGTCATTTCAATATATAACAGTGTACCAGATATTTTACGGGCTTATAAAGAATACTAGAGTTTATACGCCTAATTTTAATAATTAAAATTAAATGCAATTTAATTTTTACAAATGTATTTATGATTGAAACAAGACCATTTTTAGTTTAGTTACATATCATAAAATTGACTCGTTAGTAACAAATCTTAATTTTTACATGGTTATAATCACTCTAGAACGTCTTTATGTTAAAGAGCTTTTTATTTTCTACTTATGTAATTATATGTAATGTACATATTGAGTATTTATGTATGTTAATATTGTCGTTTTTAAGTATTAGTTAACGAATCATAAAAATATACAATGTTATTTTGTACGGTTCATGAAGTAAAAATATGATTTTTCGTATGAGTCGTGTAGATGTATTAAACCAAAATTATCCATATTTGGATTGAAAAAAAAAAGGAAAGTACATTTGCAACTACACCGTTCGTTTCTAAGTGGCATAAACCCAGAAAATCTGACAAGAACAAATTCGATTTGTAATTACGAACTAACTCGAACTATGTAATTAATTGCAATAGTTCTTGAACATAAACAACATATTCCAAAGACTTTAAATGAAAACAGATTTATTTTTAAGGATTTTAGTTTTAAAATATAAATTGGAATAAATTCTAAATTTTAGCTTCGATGCGAAGCTGAGAAGGTATTGGTTTTACTAAGATGTGTTTTTTTTTTTTTTTTTTTTTTTTTTTTTT